TATATATATATATATATATATATATATATATATATATATATATATATATATATATATATATATATTATTTTGAGATCGACTATACAATATTATTTTTTCCTTTCTTTTTCCTCATTCTGCCTAAGGAAAAAGGGAAAGAAAATGTTGGACTTCTCTCTAGTTTCTCTCTCTAACCACGAGCTCACCGGCGCACGTTAGTCTAACGGGCGACCACCGTGGAAATGGCCAGGGGAAGAGGAAGACCTCGAGGGAGACCAAGACGACTACTTGTAGCTGGAGGTGGAAATTCAGCTGAAGTTGAAATACAGACAGTGAAAGACCTAGTGACTACTGTTCCATTGGATGACAATCAACATGCAATGGAGGAATTGATACAAAGCAAAGCTAAGGGGAAGGAATTGATTGTAGATCCAAGTCAAATTGAACAACTGAGTGAGAAGGATCCAGATCTGGCAAGTTCAAGCAAAGCAGCAATGGATCGAGAAGCAGTAATGGAGGAGAAAGGTGAGAAAACTCTGTGGACCTCTCTGTTCGCAGGAAATAGGAGCTTGGAGAATGGATTGAAACTGAATTATGTACCACCTGTAATTGTAGATGGGAAAACAGTGTACAATTAGAAAAAGAGGATGTAGAAAAGGAAGTAATGAAGTGGAAAAGTGCTTTAATCGTGTATGTAATTGGTGAAACTCCTGGTTACAACTACATGCATAGATATGTGAAACAAAACCGGAATCAAGTTGTTGAACCAGAAGTTTTTTATCATGATGAAGGATACTATTTGGTTAGATTTAACAATATGAGTGATATGAATGATATATTATACTCTGGGCCATATACAATGAATAATAAACCTCTAATTCTGAAACCTTGGACTGTTAACTTTGATTTCAAAATTTCTGACTGAAATTCCTTTGTGGGTGATTTTACCTAATTTGCCTATGAGTTGTTGGGGAGTGCAGTCACTAAGCAGAATTGCCAGTGCAATTGGCAAACCACTGTACGCAGATGAATGCACATCAAAGCAAAAGAGAATTTCCTATGCTAGGATGTTAATTGAGGTTAATGTCACAAGAGCTCTGCCTACCAGTGTTATTGTATGGAACCAGATGGAAGACAATTTGACCAAGAAATTGCTTATGACTGGAAGCCTGAATTCTGTGAAACTTGCTTGAAGATTGGACATTCATGTAAGGAGATTGCTGCAGAACAGAACAAAGTTGAACAACAAAGGAGGAGAAGGAGAACAGATACTCAACAAATTGTTGTTCAACAGAAGGAGAAAACAATGCAAGAGTGGAGACCTAAAAGAATAAATGAAGAGAAGGAGATGCAGAGTATAACAAAGGAGTCAGGAGTAGAAACACAGAATGAAATGCAGAATTTGGAAGGAAGACCAAAAGATAGATCAGATGCTACACAAATACAGGGAAGTCAAACTCCAAGAAGAGAAGATCTGAATATGCAGAAGAGTCCAGAATTGAGCTGCACAAGAGAATTTCCAACTCTAGGTGATAGTGTGGTGAAAGGGAATAGAAAGGGGGAGAGTATAAGTGGAAAGGAGACTCAAAAAAGCATAGCCTCATCTGATATGAGGCCACCTATAATAATGCAATGACCTGGTTGGTATGGAATGTAAGGGAATAAATAAGAGATATAAGCAAAAAGAAATAAAGAAGTACATAAAGAACAATCAAATAAAACTAGCAGGATTTGTGGAGACTAGGGTGAAAGAGGGAAGAGCTAACAGAATAGTTAANGTGTTATCGTGCAACGGTTATATCATAAGCCCCATAATCATCATTCTCGTATTAGGAATCTCTACCCGTTAGTTGACCACCTAGGTAAATGCCACGACCCTAGTGCTTTTCTCTATCTTGCATACAACCTAGACTTAATATCTTAGCATAATTTAGTTATAATTAGTAATTGTTAAATTGTAGTTGATAATCACAAAAAACCCAAAAATGATAGAAGATCAATTAGAAGCAAACTCGCATTTCTAGGCTAAACAAATATCCAACTCCCTTCCTAGCTCCCTGTGGAAATTGACCCCGATACCACTATTGGGTAAAAGTATTAGCACCCACTCTTCCAAAGGTTGAGTCCGCTGCGACCTAATCAATCATCATCATCAGCACCCTGAAGATATGAACTATGTGGCTAACTATGGGGGTCAGAGACAAGGAAATCAGAACTGGGGTCAGCAGACTCAGCAGCAGTACAGGCCACCTCAGCCACAGTATAACGCCGAAAACATGGGAGGCATGAGACCTCCCAACAACATGGCACCGTATCCTAGACCACAGGGGTACAACAATCAGCAGCAGCAGGATGGAAGACAGGAAGACGGGTTTGCAAGACTGGAAGCAATGATGCAGCAGGTTATTAGGTCCAATGCTAAGATAAATGAAAGGGTGGATGCACATGATGCGGCTATAAATAATATTGAGGTCCAAGTGGGCCATATTTCAATGTCACTAAACAATCGTCCTCAAGGAACATTACCTGCAGATA